ACATATCGCGTTGTCGTCGAGCTTCCTCGCGTTGTCGTCGAGCTTCCTCGCGTTGTCGTCGAGCTTCCTCGCGTTCCTCGCGTTGTTGTTGATCGTCTTCACACAGCGTCTTCAGGTGCTCGCGTAAGCCTTCGTTATTAGGCTCCGCCGCGACCTTCCCCGACACTTCTACGATTTGCTCGTCCAGAGACTTCATGTTTTTTGGCTGAGAGAGCAGTTAAGAAAACTCGCCTTGTGTAAATGATAGTGATCATTATGGCGGGGCTTGGGGTTGCTAAATCCTAATCGAGGTTAGGATCCCCTGGAGTGGTCGCTAGTACGGCTGCCATGTAACTAAGCGCAAAGTAATTTCAGTATATATATTCGAAAGCTTACAGGACAAACCATGTTTCCGCTTTGCTACAAAATGGCCGTCCCTCCATCCTCTTTCTTGTTCAATCCTCGAACTATCTGAACGAATTCGCACACGCTTATGACAACCTTGGCCACCGTGTCCCGAATCATTGTCTGAATACCTAGCCAACTTGCAGCTCCTAGCTCCATGTAAGTGCGGCTCGAACCGGTGGCGGCTTGCAACATGGGTGTCGCCTGCAACACGTAAACGGTGCATACGGCCGGTATTGCATACGGTTGAGCAGCCGTCGCCGCCCTGCAACAATGCTGTCTGCGTCGGTAGTAACATGGGGTCACGCCATCCAAATAACTGCTGTTTGATCGACAGACACGGCAACATACTGCTTATAAAAATGTCCAAACTACACCAGTAAAAAGTTGGGAGAAGGAAACAAGAATTTCATCCTCGAAATTGTGGCAAGGAGAGGGTGCCAGCACCCAGGGCCTGCATGCAATTGAGCAGGGAGGAGGAAATGCTCCCATCCTGTCCCCCTGTTGGCCCTCAGGGGCTAACGCGCCCATGCTGGCCAGAATGGCAAGAATGTTTCCTGGTTAACAATTAGTGATACCCTCAGCCCAAGGTCTGAAATGAAACGAATGCTCGGTGGCACATTGTCCCAGGCCTCCTCATGGTAGTTAAGACAGACCATGGTGGAATTTCGCGCACCTCACACGTGCAGCAGCATTGGTGCAGCACGACAGCACACAAAAGGCAGCAGCAAGCCAGTACGACAGCCCTGGCTCTCTGGCTAGCGGCTCCCTCCAAAGCAAAAAATAAAACGTCCACATCGTCAATACCACCGGGTGGAAATAATGAATGCATCTCGGTCAGCAGTACAGTACTTATGCCGAGGCGGTCGCTGCGGTGTCGGTTAGCTACTCTAGGCGGGAAGGCTTTCTCCCAGCCGGGAAACCTTCCCAACACACAATCCCGCAACAAAGCTAACACAACTATGAGGGGCTTTAAGGTGTTATGGTTATGCGGGCAGCAGTACCAATGATCCGTCCGCATTCACAGCTTCAACAGAAATGATAACATAAGGTATTAACAACATAGGATTCAGCCTGTCCCTGCGGCACGTGGTTATAAAGCACATAGTCAGATGTCGAGCAGCAGTGCTTGATGGACAGCTCACTTTGCTCAGGTAACGTGAAACGTCTGTTACGTTGGCTTGCTCAGCCCTTAAGGCCCATAAGAAGATGGACGAACCTGTACGGCAGGGCCTCCCCACAGGAAAACGGCTCCATGACTCAACAAAATGTTTATGAAACACGGAACAGTCCAACGCTGCTCCCTCTACAGACACAAGATAATAGTCGTCAGACACTGACCGTTCTAAGCAGCCTTGTCGTATGTATATACCATGTATGCTGTACAGCATGCAAGACAAGATCCACTCCGCACATCTCTTCTCTCCACCCGCAAAACAACCAGTGGAGGCATTATTACTAATCGTCGTACTCAGCCAGTCGGCCTCCAGCCCCAGCCACCTCCTCCTCCTTCTTGGCTACGAGCATAATCGTGTCTTCATGTTCATCGTACTGCAACGTGCATCTGACCTCAACCAACAACCGCTCCGTAAGGCCCCACTTATCCACCCGCTTGTCCGGCCCCACTACAAAACCACGATCCACAGTGTGGCACGCACGACACAACGTCTGGCATACACCCCGCACGCACTCCACCACAGGCGTCCACGCCTCCGTGCCACCGTCAGCACAGCGCCGCCGCGCCAGACCGTGCGCCTTCATCACCGCCGGCAGCAGCGGTGATGTCCACAGCCGCCGCGCGACTGCCGTACAGCGTGCCAGGCATGACACTAGTCCGAGCACTGCCAGGTGCAGCACCGCCGGGCGCTCTGAGTCCCCCGCCGCCGCCTTGGGGCTCCCAAGAACCGACACCAGGTGCGCCTCCAGATCACAAAACAATACCTCCGGATGCACCGTGCCGCTGGCCATCAGCTGCCACAGTGCACTGGCAGCATCGACAGCGGCACGCTCCGCTGCCACCGCCACAACAGCAGCGGTGCCGCCGCCACCGCAACAACCCCCCCTGGCGGCCAGCAGCCAAACGAGCTCCGACAGCACCGCCTTCTCCTCTTCAGCGGCAGCCCCCCGGGCCGCCGTACCCTTGGCAGCGGCGCCGCCGCAGCTGCCGCCGCGAGAACGCAATTTTTGCGGCCGGGCAAGTGTTCGTCCCACACCCTCGTACACCGTGATGGCGGAGTCAAGCATGCATGCTGCGGTGGCACGGACGCGGGCGCGGTCCGCCGTGCCGGCGTTGCTGGACAACGGCGCGCGAAGCGTCTCGACCGCCAGCCGGAAGCTGTCTCTCGGCTCACCAGTGGTCGGATCCGGCGGCAGGCCGAGCTCCACACGGGCCCGATGCAAGTTGGTCATCACGATGAAACATGACTGTGGAGGAGTGTTTGTTTCGGGGTGTACTACTTTGGCGTGTTACGTTCCTGTTGAAGGTTATATTTTACCAAACAACTGCGATGTGGGTCGGGAATACGGGTGATAAGCAGCAGTGGTATTACCTCGGCCCCAGCCGCCAGTGGTATGAGCACGACGGCTTCTGCTCGTAGACCTCCTTCCATAACTTGCACCACATCACCAAAAAGCTTTGGAGGCCAAGTCCTCCTAACCCATAGGCCAACCCGACCCCCCCCCCCGATTTCCCCAACCTCACAACAACTCCCCTCCCGCAACAACAACACCCTCCATCGCCTCCCCCGGGCCGTGACCCACCTCCAGCAGTTGCACCCCCAGCCTCCAGCTCGAGGTGCTATCCGATAGCTGTCGTACTGACCTCTCCGCAGTGCCGTACAGCCCCTCAGCCAGCGGCCTTGAGGTGGTGCTAGAGGCTGTGGCGGCGATGGCGGCGGCGCCCTCACCATGTAGGCTGAGGTTGGTCAGCAGAGCCAGCAGCTGCAGCCTGAGAGGGGAGGGCGCCAGCAAAACATGGAAGAAGAGAAGGGAAGAGTTGGCTTTAATAAGTTAACACCTGTACAACAGGGAGGCGGAAGGCGGTGTACGGCAATGGACACCTTACCAGCTTTCAGCAACAAATGTCGACACATACCCCCGACATGCCGACATGACTCCGGAAGTCGGTACCCTTCCTTGCCCTTCTCCCTCCATTCATTTCCCATCCCGAGTGCCTCTGGCCCAAACTTTCATTAAAACTAAAATCGTAAAACCTCCACGCGTAAAACCCTCAAAACCCTAAAACCCTCGAAACCACCGCACTCGGTACCGTGGCGGCGGCTCACCTTAGCTCCTGCCCACTTCCACTCAGAGCGGCAGCTGTCGAGCGCGGGGGCGGCGCGCCGTCATCAACATCTGGCAGCTCCAGTAGTGACGCGATGTACGGCATAAGCCCCGGCTGACCACAAATGGCCTTGCATCCGCCGGCGCTGAGCGTCACTGCCACCAGCACTCCCATGCAGCAGGTCTGCAGCTCCTGGACCTGCACTGCTGTCGGCGCCGTCGACACCCGAACCTGCCGAACAGAACGTACGGCATTCAGCCACTGACGGTACCAGTGGCGGCGGCGGCGGTCTGCGGGGCGCCCCCCCGATGTCCAAGAGGGGCAGCACGAGCGGCGGCGGACGTGTCGCCACCCGTGGAGGCATGTGGACCGCGCTGCCCCCGACACGGCTGCCGCCGCCGCCAGTAGACCCCCCGCTACCTCTCGACCCGTCCGGGGCGCCTATCGGTGTGCAACCCGAATCTGCCACAGTGCCGCTGCCGTCAGAAGGCGGCGGTGCGTGATCCATTTGTCCGCCGTGTGTGCCCTTCCGTGGTTCTGTAGGGGCCAACACTGCTGCCGTGGCGACGACAGCGGAACCCGCAGGTCCTGTATCTACTTCTGCCCCCTGCTGCTGCTGCTGCTGCTGCAGCAAGGCAGAGCCAGCAGCCACAATCGCCTGCATGAGCTGCTTCTTGCCCTGCGAGGAACAGGAGGAGATGAGGAGGCGGAGGAGTAGGAGGTCAGAAAGCCGACCGGACCAGAAAAGACCATACACGAAGGCTGCCATAACGACCGACTCTGAGAATGGATCCCGCAAGCGCAGCCACGAAAACTCCCCGTGCGTGATGAGGTGCGTGCGTTACCCGGCGACCGGAAGCTTTCCTCTCCTCTCTGGCCATAGAAATGGGCTCAAGACACGGCCTATGGCAGCACGGCGGTACGGCGGTACGACCAACACAACGCACCGTCAGCTCCACACGGCTGTCGATTATGTTGCTCGAGTCCATGTCCTGAGTGTTGCCGAGGGGGTCCCCAGTGCCGCCGCCGCTGCCGCTGTCCGTTTGTACCGCCCTGCCGCCACCACGGCCGCCGCTGCCGCTGCCACCGCCACCGGCGCTACCTTCGCCGCCGGCCCGACCGCCACCGCCACCATCGTCATGCGTCTTTCCATGCACGGCTGGCTTTGGCGGTGGCGGCAGCGGCACGTCGTACCAGCGGCCGACACGCAGTCACCGAAGCCCTTGGTGTCGTACCGGCTACCGCCGTTGACGCCTGCGTCAGCGGCGGCATGGTGGCCGCGCTCGTCTTGCGCGGGCGCATCTTTCGCCATTCTGGTCCGCATGATGTTGAGTTGGGAGGTCTCTGAGGTACTGAAGTCCCCTGACGCCAGCAGCCACAGCAGGTAGGCGGCGGCGCAGGAAGCGGCCAGGGTGAACTGTTCCTGATGGCGACATGAACACGATGGAAACAAGACAAAACAAAACAACAAAGAAAGAGGAAGTCCGTGGGGACGTCCTGAATCTGTGAACCTGGGATGTATTTGTTGCCAAAGAAAGGTCAAAACGCAACTTCACAGCTCTCACAGTGGAACGTTACCTGCTCCGGCTTCTGGCAATGACCGCTGGATGCAATGCCGTACAGGCTCCGGAGCAGAGCGTCCTGCAGCTGGCGCTGAGCCTTACGCACCTGCGTGACTCGTACATCCTCCACCTGCATGTACGGAATCATGCCGTACGGAGGCGGCGGCAGCGAACAGGCCGTGTCGCACGTCCCCTTCACACGCGCCACTGGACCTGTGTTTCATTGGTGATTTGCAACACCCCGAGCCAGCTCCTGCTCAAGGTAAAAACCCTCAAACGAAAGTGGTGCTGCTTCTCCGAGAGCCTCAACCTCTCGTAATGGGACCCAGCTCTGGCGGCTACGACCGCTGTCACGTACCTGTGCATGCTATGGATTGGTGTCGGACGATGCTAAATAGTGTACAGGAGGGGGAGGGGGAAAGACGAACCACACACGATTGAAGAACGATTGAGGGGGAGGGGGAGGGGGAGGAGCAGAAGGAAGAAAAGGTGTTCTGGAAATGTAACGAATATATGGAAAGCGGCATGTGCGATGTCCGCCAGCAAGCAGCGCACCTGCCCCTGTCCTCCCGCACCCGCTCCCGTGTCGCCGCCGCCGCCGTCACCCTCGTCACCCTCGCAGCCGCTCCCATGTTCCTGACTGCCAGCCACACCAGCCTCCTTCCCCACATCGCCAGCCTCCTCCACCTCTGTTACCCCAATAGCTCCCACATCACCATCACCACCATCAAGCTCAAACGTCGCCGAATACCCTCCGTCCTCACTGCAGCAGCTGCCCTTAGGCGGCTTCAAAGCCGCCACTGGCGCATTGGCCCTCTGCCCGTCGGCCGCCGGGCCCCCTTGCGCAGCAGCACCACAACCACCACGTCCACCCCCAGCGACAGCAGCGGTGGCGGCGCCGCCGCCCCCTGACACCGCCGAGCCGTCGTCCCGCTCCTTTGCCCCGTTGCCCTCTCCCTCCACATACTGGCGCTGTGCCCCCTCTCCGGCCGTGTCGAGTGGCAGTAGCAGCAGTAGCTTGATGAGGCGCTCCGGAACCCGGCTTTGCTCCGGATTAGGCCACTGGCTGGGCACCTTCTGGCCGTCACAGATCAGCAACGCCGCGGAATGTACGGAGCTGCAGGCCGCGAGACACTCTGCTCACATATACATACGCACATACACACGGAATGTGTGTGCATGTGTGTCAGCTAGCAGCTCTCCGTGAGGAAGTTGAGCAAAAAGGTGAGGTGAGGTGGCCTGGAGGGGTTCAGGAACAAACGATCCGGATCCAGGTACGACAACCACAACCGGATAATAACGGCCGCCATATCTCAACCCACGCATCCCCGCACTTACATACCCACCCCACCCCACCCCACTCCACCCCACCCCACCCGCACCGTGCACCTGCCAGCAGTACTCCCTCCGCCGCGAGCTCCACCACCGCTCCGCCCTCCGTAACGCCCGCCCGCTTGGAGCCCCTCTTCGCCGCTTCCTCCATTCCTGCCGGGGCACCAGCACCAGCACCAGTCCGCTCAGGTAATGGGCCCCTTACCCCAACCGGGCCCCCGCCGCCCCCGCCCTCGCCGTCGCCTTGAGCAGCAGCAGCAGCAGCAGCAACAAGGCGCTTCAGCGCTCTGCACGCGGCCTGCAATGCACCACATCGCTCCAGGGCGGCTAACCCCCCCGCATCTGCCGCCACCTCCCGCATCGCCCACAGCACGTCGAAGCAGCCCCCCTGCTCCTTCTCCTCCTTGTCCTGCTCCATACGCTCAGCTAGTAGCTCCATCAGCCGGGGACATGGTCTGAAGCTGGGAGTGGGAGCCGCCGGCGGCTGCTCGCCAGGCCATACCCAACAGACAGAGACCCCCCTGGGGGGCAACAACATCCGTATGCGTGCGTGTTTTGGTGGTTGGCGGTTGCGAAGTGCGAGGAGGGCATGTTCAGATTACCGGAGGTCCTGACTCCCATGTCCTTTTGGGGTCCCAGGTCTGTTGGGGGCCTTATGAAGCTATGGCGCTTGGGGGGCGGGATGTGGTCTGGGGGGTCCATTTCGCTTTGACCGCCGCAGGGTTGTCAGACTGCTGCAGGTAAACTATTCCGTAACCGTGAGGCACTGAGGGTGGGTCCTCCGGGGCCCCAGATCCCTTGAAACAATGACCTGCGATAACAAACCCTTGATGTCCGGCCTTGTCAGGAATGCTCTAATGCCACCTTGATTATTTCCGGTAGGGGTATCCTTAGGACGACCCTTCCATCCCCCCATTTTTAGGACGCCACGTGTCACGACACGAAGACGTTTTCCCTTCGAGGAACATGCAATTAGCCCAGTAGACCAGTACCTGGCGGACATCCCGACGGGGACTGTTAATGAGGACAGGTAGTACGGCACACAAGCGCTGGACCAGCGGCAGCAGCATCGGCGGGTGTAGCTGCGCACAACGGGCCAGGAGCAGGGCCGCGGGACCTTGCAGTCTCTCTACCCCGAGTTGCGGAACGAGGCGGTGGAAATAGCCGTGGCGCTGAGGGCCCGGAAGAAGAGGAGTGGGGAGAGGCGCACGGAGAGAAAGGAGGGAGGGGTTTATCAGAAGGGACGCAGGTTTGGACGAGATGCCACATGCGGGTCTGGATGGGCTTACAAGCGGCGTAATGGCCTGGAAGCAAAATGGCTTTTTTTGGTGGCTTAAAAATGGATTTACCATGTCATGGAGTATGAGCGCAGCTGCAGTAGCAGTGACCTTAAGAGCAGAAATTGACCCAGAACCAGCGGCTCTACACATCAATAAATAGACATATGGGGCTGATATGATCGTCGCGCCGGCTGTTGCCCCCGAACAGCTGTGGACCCCGCACAACTGCAAGGGGCAGAAAGTCCTGAAGACAGGAGTGGGGGTTTGAAACTCGCACCTGCACGTACTGAACCTCCTTGCTGGTCCATGATTTTGATAGGAGTGATTCAAATGCATGGGGGTGGCTGGTGAAGTTTCCGTCCGCCGTGACAGGCTTGGTTGCGGTGTGCAGAGGTCCGCTCCCGTACGCATCGTCCCTCTGCGGCACCGGCCCCGTGGGTCGAGGTTCTACCGGAGTAGACAGTACGTTGTCATGAGGGTAATATCTTTACTTAAGGTTCGTCTAGCGACGGGAAAATGCCTGCTGATGGTCCACCGTGGCCCTGGGGACTCAAACTCAGACGGAACATGTGTCGTCGATAACGCCGTCCAAGCATCTCCTGGAGACGAAGTGTATAGCAGCAACGGGTACGATGTAAACTCGTTAAAGTACTTATTGAATATCGCTTGTTTGATTGCAATAGAGCTTCTGCCCCGAGTAGGGCCAATTCCCGAGGTATGGTCACCATCTTCCGAATCATCATGAATAATCCCCAAAAAACGGACGGAATTAGCTGTCCCTGTAACAGTCCGACTTCCTGGCCTGCGTAAGCTGCTGCGCGTCGCAAGAGGAGTGTATCCGTCGTTAGTCACAGAGGACGCCATTTCGACTTTGCCGAGCTATCTATTATGCATATGAATTAATCATATAACCTATAGTGATTCAAGCAAGTTCAAAACTGGCCAAGCATGCAGATGCGGTTACAGTGTCCGTTACCGGTGGCGGTTACCAGCAAAAGCATAAACCGCGCGACACCTCCAGCGCTCGAGTAGGAGGGTTCAGTATCAGTCACCTATGCCCAGCCTCAATCTGTTTTACAGCGCGATTCCCCGCTCGCCGTCAGAAGCTGCTTCAAAAAACGCCAGCAGACCGGATGCAGCTGCTTAGCACGCCGCCGCTGTAGGGTCCCCGGGTCCAGCATATGCAACTTCGCGTCATCTTCATCACCTTCGTCATCACCCGCCTCCTCCTCTTGCCTCACTCCCTGACCATCACCCGCTTCCTCGCTTTTGGACCCAGCCTTTACCGCCCCGTTGCGCTCCACCCCACCCCCCCGATGGCCTCCCCGACACCTCCACCGCCGCCACCGGCGACGACGCAGCACCCCCGCCCGCCTGCTCCTGCCGCAGTGTCGCGAACAGCTCCCGCATCGCGGCCTCTACAGCCAGGCCCCACAACGCGCCACCGCGGCCACCACCGCACGCTACCGCCTTGGCTAGCAGCTGCAGCAGTGCATGCATGCGATAGGCCTTCTCTGGCGCCGCACCGCCTGAAAGGATGCTCAGGGCCAGAGGACTGGATCCGGCGCTCCCCAGCATCTCCCAGATCGCCCCATGCGCCTCATGAGGGCGCACTTCCTGAAAGTCTGGACCTGGGGAATGTACCGGGGAGGAGGACCCAAACAGCAAATCCCGGTGTCGGAGCGAGAGAAGGGGGAGGGAGGAAAAAGGGGGACATATGCAAGCAGCAGCCACTACTGCTGATGGAATTGCTGCTGCTGCTTAACCCGGTGGTGCGTCACGGTCGGTACTGCTTTCCAAGTAGTCATGAAGATGGGAAGCCGATCCAATCGGCACAGGGGACCAGGCCGTTGCCCGCAGCAGTCCGTGGAGGCTATCTTGGTTCCCATGGCTTCGTCCAGTGACAGTGACTACTGGGTCATGCGCCACCATACGAGCTCAGTGCCATCACACAGCGCACCCTACACAACTTCTACGGACACATGCTGCCCCTGCCACCTCCCCCCTCCGCCTGACTCGCACCTAAGCCCCCGTCCTTACGCCCTGATCGCCCACACACAATCAGATACACAGCCGCCCACACCCGTTCATCCAACTTGTCTGTCAAGTGCTCCCTGGGCGAGATCACTTGCCGGTTGGTATGCTCCCGAGCCACGAAGCGGGTACTCTCCTAGCTCCCACCCCGGTCCCCTCCAGTCAACCACCCACCTGCGAGCGCCTGGGCCACCCCTGGCACCGCCAGCATCCAGCAGTGCAGCTCCCGGCTGCTGGCCGCACAGCACAGCGCCGCGGACCGGAGAGGCTCCGTCTCCGGCAGGGCCCCCGCCGCCGCAAAGAACACCTCCAAGGAGGCCAACACGCCCGTACCCTTGAGTGCCGCCGCCAGGTCCGCATTGCCGGGGCGCTGCTGAACGTAGAAGTCTAGCACCTGAGGTTGTCCGGTGGTTAAGGGGGGCCAGTAAAGGAGGAGTGGTGCGGACTGGTGAGGAGATAAGATTTTTTCCAAAGTGGTTTGCGGCCTGTGGGTCCGCATAACGGAAACTTGGACCCACCTGGCACACCAGCACAATGGCAGCCACCTCCTCCGGACCCGGCCCCGTTAACCTGGCCGTCTGCTGCTGCTGCTGCTGCTGTATCACCACTGCCGCCTCCGTCTGCACCTGTGCCTTTGCCGTTGCGATTTTCCCAGGTCCTGGCCCCATCGTCCTCACCAGCTCGCCTAGACAACGCTCCAGAAGGGGCAACATGTGCTTGTGGACTTGCTGCCAGAGCCGCAGCTTGGCCGAGGCGGCTGTTAGTTGGCCCGCCAGCGTCACCACGAGGGACAGGCAGGTGGTGGCCTCAGCCATCAGAAGTCCCTGGCCTCGACGAGCCGCCCCGACAGGTCGTTGTCGGTCGACCTGGTCGCACCCACACCAGTGGCGGATGAATGTCGTACTTGGAGGACCAGATCACACCAGCGTTGGAGCGCACCAAGTTGGGGAGAGATTGAGGACATGTCCCCAGGTAAGGGAGATGCCAACGCTAAGACCCAATCCGAAGCGTGGATACTCCCAACCAACCTCACGCTCAGCCCCATGCCACGCTAAGCTAAGCCATAGACACGCCATCCCATGCCCTGCCCTGCTAGGCCAAGATATTGGTCGAGGCCATGCGTTTCAAAGATGCGCAATGGCAGCCCGAGGCGCCCTGCAAAGGCATGCACGTGTGCCTCTAGGACTGCTATACAAGGGTCGAAGTGGTAAAGCCCTTACTTGAGGCAGCGAAGCAACGCACTGCAGCCCGACGGCGTCCCACAGGTTGTCCAGGGAGGCCAGCTCCGACGGCTCCGCCGCAATTCGGTCCGCCACAAGGCCCACATAGGCGTGCAGCAGCGGCTGCAGCTCCAGGGAATGCCGGTGCGCGCCCAACGCCTGCAGCAACTGAAACACCCCCTGAAGGAGCGTGCCGTCGCGCCACAGCTCCGGGTCGTCCAGCAAGGCATAGGATACATGCCCCGCCAGCCGTAACAGCCGCGCGCGCAGCGCCGTCCAGGAGTACGGCGGCAGTAAGGAAGGTCCGGGCGGGCCCGGGATCGCCCGGTCTCCGCCGGGGGCAGAGGCGTCCGCGTGTGCTGTTGCTGCTACTGCGGTAGCGCCACCTGACGAGCTGCTACCTGGGCGTTGGGTTGTGTCGATTTGGGTTTGGGTTTTACATCATGTTTAGTGCGCGCCGTCGATGAATGCAGTTGTAAGCTAGAAGATGGCGATGTAGATGTAAATAAGAGAGAAATGAACCGTCCAGGCGCTGGCTGTGGCTATAGGTCGACAGCGACGCAATTGCATGATGATGGGCTGACAATCTATTACCACTAGCAGGTATGCGCGCGCGGCAACAACTGGCAGCTCTGGAAACCTCCCTCATGAAATGATGTGATGGAATCTCAACACGGCACAATGATGAAGGCCCAACCCAGTAGGCATGCTCCCCACGAAACCGCGGTCACCGCTACCGCCACATCCTTTTCCCCGCCTGCACCGCCACCCACTTGGCGCCTCCAGGTCTTCGAACACAAAATCGTCGCCATCCTCCGCCGCCGCCTGCGTCTCCTCATAAACTTCCTGAGGCGGCTGTTGTTACTGCTGGTCTGCCGGCGGCCCGTTTCCGCATTCCGGAGGCTCTGCCGCCATGAATAGAGTCCCGTTCTTGTCGGCATCTGCTGCCTGGTGCACCCCACAAACAAGAGCCGCGGCTTCGAGTTCGCCGTCCAGATGTGAGTGTGGCGGCAGCGGCAGCGGAAGAAGCAGCTGCTGAGGCCCCATCCCAGGCGGGTGTTGCGAGCCAGAGTGTCCTATTCTATTGCACGGGGTTATCGCCTCGCTTTTGCCAGTTCACAGTTGTTGTATGCTAAATGCAGCCAAGACATTTTGTTTGGCTATGTGCACAATGGATGGCTGAAGGATTTGGCGGCTTGCGTCGCAGCAGTTGGAGTTGAAGAGTTTGCCGGGACCGGATTCTATCACGGGACTCGAAGGGCGGAAAAAGTGCAGGAAAAACAGTTACAGTTAAGTGTGCAATTTGCGAGTACTCGCCGTTGGGCGCTCCACAGCTTATGAATGACCTTGCTGAGGCGGTTTTCAGCGGTGTGATGCAGTGCTGCTTCAATGCGCAATGTTAAAGGTTATATTTAAGATGGACGGCTTTCATCACCCGCCGGGTGCCTGGTTGCCTTGACTGTCTGCGTATCGGTGATGGTGGCGCTGCGACCTCACATGTGCGTTTCGTACCAGCATGCGCGGGAGTCGCGGCTGATGAATATCGAGCCACCCCTCAGGATAATGCCACCAACCGTCTGGGTCGCGGTAAGGCACTGCTGGAGGTTGGGGTGGCTGGAGTGGGCGTTGCGTAGGCTCCGGGGGAAACAAGGAAGACCCAGATCGTTTCCAGTTGGCCGGTCATGTCACGGGGTAGTCCGGACCTATTTATTCTAATGCCCGTAGGACTGGTGCAGCCGGCGTCCCTCCAGGGCGGTCGGGCTATGGGACTGGTGCTGCGAGACCTGCATGGCATAGCAGCAGATAATAACGAGTGTAAGTTTTGACGAGTAATAATGACCTGAAGAGTTTTCAGTTGGGGGACGCGCGTTCCAAGAGATCGGAGTGCAGCACATGTGTGGTTAGAAGACATGTAGCTGGAAGTCGTGCATGGTGGAACAGGAAAGCTACTGCCCGTACCTTCCGTCAGCACGCAACGTCGCGGGCCAGTGCGCTGCTACCTCTACGCGCTCCGTTGGTGCAGTAGCGTCGCCGCCATCAGGCCGACGAGCAGTCCTGTGGCCACGAGAAGCCTGGTCTCGCCCTGAATCCACCCCCATGTCACTCCACAGGGTCGGCCCGGGTGGAGGGCCACCAGCCGCACCGTCTAATGTTGGGTGCTTCACGCGAGATTTAATGCCAATGACCTTGTCACCGCAATATTTATCAGGTGCTCGAAGCATGTCGTCCTGATCCTCCTGCAGCCCGTCGCCCCCAGCTGCCGGCACACACTTCCGATGTGGAGGGGGCCGCAACCTTGGTGGGCTCATCCGTGCCGCGTCACGCATGGCGCTAATCGCTTTGCTTCCTGGGCCCCTGATGCTTGGTGCCAAATCATCGGCTCTGCCTGTGAAGGCAGTAGCTCCCACAAAGCCTACCCGGCAGTGTGTCGGGTAGGCGCTGGGCCGCTGTCCGGCAGCAACTGCAGGTGAGGGGTCCCGACGCTGCAGTGCAGCTGCAATCCCGGCTAGGACGGCCGGCTCACTGAGCTTGCGAACCTCACTGTGCCCATGTTCGACCTGCCGTCCGGATACACCGGCAGGAGGATGTGATACGGGCTCAGCCGCTAGTGGTCGAAAATCTCGTGGCACAGGACTACCCTGTTGTGGCAGTGGGCCGTTGTGTTGGTAGCTCGGCAAATCGTCGTGCATGGCGGACCCTGCCCCAGCTGCAGCACCCTCCTGAGCCGCAACCATAGCCTGAGGTGTCAAGAAGGAACGCGTTAGAATGTGCAGCGTCAGCAGAGCATGGAGGACAAACGCGAAGTCGGATAATGGACACGGAAAACATGATGTTACCTACTTCTCTGCACAATGGTGTGCAGTGCAAGTTGTCCAGTAGTCGCACCTGCAGTCGCACCAGTAGTCGCGCCTTCTTCCACGCGGTCGTGTACCGCCAGGCCGTATACTGCCATGCCTGCGGGGGATTGAGTAGGGCGCAGCGATACCAATGGGCTGGTTGAACCCAACACTCATAAGCAGGATACTTAAGGATGGGCCCTAAGGACCGCATAATTAATGGCCACTCTCGGAGAAGCCCACCAGCTGCTTTCCTTTCTCATGCTTTAATCAGATCCTCACTTCAAAGTGCCGGATGCTTTTCGTGTACCTGCGCCTGCTCCTTGAGCTTGGCTTTCTTGGCCCGCCACCGCAAGTGGTGCTGGTGCAGCAGGGCCCGCAAGGCCGCAGCAGTTGAGGCGTCGTCACCCGTGGGCGCGCCGGTGCCAATGACTGCACCTGCGCCGCCCGCACCATTTGCTAAAGCCCCATCGCGGTCGCCCGCCGCAACGCCGCCATTCTCAGCAAACGCCGAGGCAGATGGCCGTGCCGCCTCCGCCGTCCTGCCCTTGGACCTCGAAGTCACACCCATGCGGCGGGACATGTCCGTATAATGTTGTACAGCACCACCGGGTGCCGGTGAGGCGGCTCTGCGTGCGTGTTGTTGCTCCCCCCCGTTCTTGTGCTCACCTCGGCGCAGCGGGGAGGAGACGGCGCCAGACAGCAAGGCGGGCGCTGCGGGCTCGGCTAGAGCTCCACCACTCCGAGCTGTACCACGCTGATGAGTAGGTGATGCTTGGTGCTGCGGCAGTGGGGAGGACTGCCGCTGCGGGGAGAAGGGCACGGACGGTAAGGAACCTTCGGCGGGATCAGCCGACGGGGCACCCACGCGTGCAGAAAGGCGCTGCGAGGGAGAGGAGTGCCGTACCAGCAGTGGCGATGCTTGGCGCGGCGGGGAGGCCGAGCGTGGAGACGTGGGGCCCTGAAGCACCGCAAGCTGCGACTTAGGCTGGCGGCCTGGCGAGCCTTGGCAGCTGTTCATCTCACGGCGCTGCTGCTGTTCCTTGGCATGGAAGGCGATGAGCTGCTCCATTGCGGCATCCAGCGCCTTCTGCATCTGCATCTGTAGCCGGGTACTCTCGGCCAGCTGCCGCAGCAATGCCGCATTCATATTACGCATGTCACGTAATGACGAGGATGCTGGCGCAGGTGGCCAAAGAACTTGGGTTGGAGACGGCGGTGTGTTGCCTGCATGGTTCCCGGCACAGCCACACTCACTATCGCGACCAGCATCAGCAACGCCAACATGAATGTTGCGAATAGCAGCTCCGCCAGCAGCAACACCGCCACCGCCGCGGCGTATGGTGTCCCCGTCACCAGCCCCTGCGGCTGCTGCCCTTGAACTCGGCACGGGTTGGTGGGCCCAGTCGTCCACGGCAACTGAAGGCTTGCCGCCCGCCGCCAAGCCCACTGCATCTGGTCTCGCCCTGCCTCGGGAACCGGGACCCTGTGTGGCCTGCTCCTGCTCTGCTAGCCGGGCCAAGACAGCAGCCGCGTCTGGGCCAGCCCTGCTGGTACTGGAACCCGATTGTGGGCTCACGCCAAGGACCTCTGCTTCCGTCTCGAACTGTGCGCGCTGAAGCAACTGGGCTAGGTACTCGCCTTCCAGCTCCCCCCTCGCGGTCCTGGGCGAGCTGCGGTGATCCCCGGTGGCATCGGAAGGCTGGTAGCGTGAGCTGCCTAACGTGGATACAGTCTGGCGTCCGGACATCCGTCCGGGTTGCTCTTCCTTGCTATTGCCGCCTCCAAGCTCCTCGCCAAAGGCATGAGATAGAGATACGCTGCTGGTGCCGCTGCCGTGGGAGGCGAGGGGCCCAGGTTGCTGCGTATCAGGGATGAAGCGCACATGCGCCTGGGAAGGGGGAGGACGCAGTAATGGCGGTGGCGGCTGGCGTTCTCGAGGGTAGAACGGCAGGGATGCGGCGTCGCTGTGGTACGCCCGCATTTCAAAGGGGCCACCATTGAATAAAGCTGCGGCTGGTGCAGAGAACTGAGGTGGTATTTGACATGGCGGCTTCAAACGAGACCTGCAGGCATTTAGGGAAGCGCAAATTTAGTATAATACTGTTGGGCAGAGATATTGTTAATGGATAGAGCAGCAAGGCCCCTATAAATCGAAGAATGATGTATTGGTGTTGAGGATAACGTATGGGCGATTACCAGTAGCAAAACGACAGCGCAATGGTGGCTGTGGTGTTCAGTTGTTCACGCAACCATTAACCTACCCTTAACTGGATCATGATGGGGAGCACAGCCATAAAAACCGCCAGAGACTCGGTAGGAGTGCATTGCTCGCTCTGCACTTCATCCAACCCATCCCCTACCCCATCGGCTAGCACGGTTTGTCGTTTCATGCCGTACAGACCCCAAAAGGCAACCTTCTAAGCTGCAGATGGCGCGGCTCGAAGCCAGCCATAAAGAGGCCCCACTCACCTGCTGCACGGTCTCCTGGTGCTGCGCCAGAAGCTGCTCGAGCACCTCTCTCAGGGAGCCGCTGCCGTTGCCTATCCCAGCGCCAGCCGGAGCAACGCCCGACGCAGCTGCAGTGCTGTTTAGTGGGGCCCACTGGGATTGCCACGCGGAAAGCCGACTCCGCAGGCTCGATAACCCCACATTGTCGGGCACGCTGACGCCGGAGCGACCGCTGCCTTCATCTGGTTGCGTCTGCGTGGACTGGAAAGCGCTTTCCAGCCGCTGCGGGGGAACCGGCGAAGGGACGCGGCAGCTGCCTTCACGTGCAGCAGCAGCCGCAGCATACGCATCGCGTTCTCCAAAGGGCGAGTGCGGGAGGGAGTTCCTTCTTGGGTATGGATTGCGCCCGGGTGAGCGTTCAGCCCAGAGTTGTCCGCCGCGTGACAGACCCTGCTGATTTGATTGAAGCTCGGGCAAGGAAAAGCCTCGCCATGGTGGTCGCTCTGTTGCCGCGCCCACGGCATCATTCCGGCTAGGGACTAGATGTCGCTGCAGAGCTGCTGGGAAAGGAGCCGCTGCAGCTGCCGCTGGGGCCCCGTTATTGTTCAGCCATGCCTCACGGCTGCCGCTAGCAGCCTCTGCTAGCTTGAGCAGCAATTGAAACTCGTCATCGTGCGGCCACGAAACTCCTGGGGATGGCGCCGCGATGGGACCGCTGGCCCCCTGCGGAGACTGCGATGGCTGCTGCGATGACGCCGCGCCCATAGTCCATTGCTGAATCTCGGACAACGCGTAATTTCCGGCAATGAGTTCATGCAGCCTGCTTCCAGGACGCGACGAGGGTGAGCTAAGCTGCTGCTGGCCTGGCGACCCTTTTCTGCTTGGGGATGTTGGCTCTCGAGGGGAGGCAGCGGGTTGCGGGATGCCTCCGGCCCCATATTGCTAAGACGGCTTAGGCCACTGTCCAAATCATTAGCGTCAGCTGGGGGCACAGTCGGTGGGAGCTGCCTCCCTGCCGTTCCGTTAAGTTCGCTATGGATGGCCCGCTCCGGAGGTGCCGGCGGGGCTGCCGGGGCACACGGCTGGTCCCCGGGTCCAGACGTGCGCGGCTTGGTTTGCCTATGGTCATGCGTGGGGAGTTCAATGCGCGTTGGCGACGTGACGCAGCGGTATGTGGTCAAGATGGCTTGGTGCTGGGCTTGGTGAGGCTCCGTTAGCGTAAAGGGCCTCATTAGACTATCGGTGGGACCCCGGGGTTCAGATTGCCGTTCTGAAGGTGGACCAGCGTAGGGGTGCGAGGATGAAGACGGGGCCTGCGATTTGATGGCCTCAGCGCTTGGGTGGTCAGACAGCGCGGAGGAAGGCTGGTTCTGCTGTGGTCGGGGCCGGTAGCCCCGAGGCGAGCCGACTGAGTGCTGCGAACCTGCAGTGCAGGCGGAAGAGGGCCCCAAGGCCTGGTTAATATCAAGCGTCCGTTGTTGATGAACAAGCCGCACCAAAGTGCGCGGATCGGCTACGTTAGCCGGGCTGTGCCAGTTCCTTTAGATTTCCGCAGTCCCTGCAGATGGCAAGCTCAAAGTGGGAATGGCCCGTTGACGAGAAGAATGACACTTCTACTGGAGAATACCCCTGCTAATATTGCGAAAACGAACGTGTTCACCAAGACTTACATAACTGCCCCTGCAGGCGTGCCTATGGCCAAGTCACATTGTCTGGCTACGCAGTTCGCATGCAGGGTCCGTACAGCTGGTGAGAGTGCTGAAATGCAGCGTGCTCAGTTCGTCGCCTGCTACCTCTGCAGCACCATTCTCCGCTGCTTGACCGGCCCGTCCGCAGGCTGTCGTATTATCATCGTCCTCAGCCTGGCCCGATTCAATGCCGTAAAGCAAGGCCCATGTGTCCTGCTCCGAAACCGCCAGGGAGTGGGAAAACAGCTGCACAAAAATGACGGCACATAATGCTCTGAAAGCGCCTCAGGGGCGCTGGCGGTCTGGGTTCAACAGCTCCCGAGGCTGGTGGTTGAGAGGGAGGGCTCCAAAGCTGCTGTCGCTGGCGCAGACAGTGTTGGGTCGGGTGGCGGGGCGGTTCCGGCAGCTCCGAAACCCGTGCCGGGCGCTGAGGACGGCTTCTGAGACTCTGACTGTTGCTGCGCAGGCACAGAGGACGGTGGGCCCCGGGGAACAGGCGCGCGAGCTCCAGCGACCACATTTTCGAGCAGCTTTGCGGTGATGGGAAATAGCGGCTGACATGCTTTGAGCTGCAACGCTGCCCTAGGTTGCAGGGGAACATGGGTGGTGCAGCCAACCTGCGGGGGGAGCGCGCATCTAGTTGATTCTGGAGCAACTATGGATCAAAAGGGGGCGATCACCCGGACACGTGGGACGGCACTTAACTACAGAGAATTGCGTAACTTCCCACGCCATACCTTAGGGTTTCCGTAAGCCCCTCAAGCTCCTCCAGCGAAATGAGCTGCGGCATAAGCATAAGGCAAATGCGGTCTTAGGCGCCAGGGAGAAGCTGTCATGCTCACCGGGAGGTCATATTGCAGCTTTTCGTAGGCACGCTGGCCCAAATCATTGGCTGGTGATGCTTTATTGCTTTGAAGCTCCTTGAGAGCGGCTGCAACAGCTGACGTGAACGCCGCTCGGCAACATGGATCGATCGTAGATCCTCCCCCGCTGCTTGTGAGGGAAGTGCTGGAATCGTTTTGAGGCTTCCTTAGAGGCATCCAAGTGCATCGATGTTTAGGCTATGATAGTGTTACTCGTCCTTCCCGTCACAAACTGGCCTTTTCCATAGGCATACTACCGTATGTTGTTAGGCGGCAATAACAGTATCGAAACATCGCTCAACTACGTGTCAGTGCTATTGGAAGCCTTGTGCCGTCGATCCACCTGTCGTACGGAAACAGTGACGACTGTACTAATTTAAGTACGTCGAGTGTTGCTGTAATCAGTCAGCGAAGAATATATCCATATTGCACATCATAATGGAATTTAATTATTGGGAGGTTTGAGGATATCCGCGTTGACGGGCACACCGAAGTCCCAGAGCTTCTGTCGCGCAAACACAATCGCCGGGCATTCTACCAAAAATGTTTCTCATCCTCAATAGCTTCGTTGCTACGACACACAGCGCACACGCGATGCTCCCTAGCCCTGTTGCTCTCACTGTTAACCGCCAAGTCGGAGACACACAAACGGAAACGGAGTAGGGCACGATGATGCGCCGGGGGGATATAACCCGCGTACGGCTTCAGCAGCCCCATCCAGTGCTTATGCCGGCACATCTTCACGCCGGGCTTCCTACCGTCCGTCACGAAGACTCTAGGGTCCACAGCCAGCCTGTCATTCACCCAGTCGTCCTTGACACGTGCCCTACGGGTGTCCATCAGCGCCTCGACATCAAGCTTGCAGGCCGAGTAACGTCTAACCCTCGGCGGCGGCAGCAAGATTTCGCACGGCATCATCGCAACGGCCGATCTGCACCGCTGTTCTGCCGGCTTAGGACCCACTTTTCAAGCAGCAAACACTTTGTCGTACATATGTCATCTTCTTTTCACGATTTGTCAGTTTAGCTTGGCTCTTACGCCGCGTGTGCGGCGCTATCGATTTGGTAGCTGGAATCTCCCTACAACACATTAATCTACGTTACCTAGTAGCTACCGCACATATAAGGATTAAATGTTTTCCATGTCGCTATAATCGCTGAGGTTCAGCGTCGTCCCAGGTGGTCCCCACACCCACCTCCCCCACATTAGACTACCTAAAGGACACCTCCACTGGCAATGTATCCGCCATATTCATGCAAACCATCGAGCGCGGCTATGCACCCACCACTGCTGCGGCCGGGAGAGGAGCACGTTTATGTTGCTTGTAGTGCCGTGTTTGTCTTTTCGGACAACAAGGCTCAGGCTTTTGGCTCAGGCTGTTGTGAACGCATCCAGGATTACCCGAAGCAAACCAGGCGAAGAAGTCGGCCTTTCGGCCACCAAGGCACAAACCAGGTGCAAGACGACGAACGTTTTGTAGTGTGGAGTTTGTTACACGAGCACAACTCATCAGTTCGCTTTGCTCCTTGTGTTATTGTTACATGGTCGTGGGTGCGTTCCCCGTACCTGCAAACCACCCCAATACGAGCCGAGGGCTCAAGGGCTGCCAGATCGCCTATAAGCACCATCCTACCTCGCACTTCAAACGAAACAAGTGATGAAGGATACTAGCGACCAAAGGGAACGATAGAGTTGCGGTGGGACCATATACGTTCCAGCATCCTTCCCAGGCGTTCAGGTTCCCACTTCATAGCGTCCTTCATGTGCTCGAAGCGTGGGAAATCCACACACGCACACACACGCACACACACACACACGCACACACACATACACGCACGCACACGCACACGCACACACACACACACAAAACACACACAAAACACACAAACACACACACACACATGAAGCCCTTTGATGAAGCTACGAGGACTATTCAGAGATATGTTACTGCTCTTGCACGTTATGTCATTATTCACCCCCTAAATGGCTGGAGTAGTCCCGACAGCCAGCCAATCTTGTCTTCACCGCCACACGCGAGGAGAAAGCAGGGATTCCGGAACCACGCTGGTGACAGACCAGTGGTTGAGAAAAGCATTGAAGCGCGAACGCTTCTTGATCACACAGCAGTAGTCGCGCAACAAATTGCCGCAGTTGGTCTAGGGTTCCCACGAATTAAATTCTGACCTTTCCAACGCATCAGATAGAAACGCTTTTGTCGACGTCCTTCTTCCACTTCCTTGTGAAGCAGAATGGACTCGACTTCAAACTCCAGTTCACCCTCAACAATTTGAGGTGGCGGAGGAGCTTCTGTACCTCCGTCTTGGCCAGCTTGGTCAGGGCCGACACAAAGGATTGCGACCCCTGCACCCAGTCGGCGGGTGCAATGTTGTGCTCCATCTCCACCTCCTCGAGTTGCACCTGAAGGGAGCGGATCAGCGCAGGCCGCTGACGGATAGACGTCGAATCGGCACCTGGGAACAGCAGCCCCAGGGAGACAACATCGGCATCATCATCCATGGATTCCGACCGCTGCAACTTCTCCAAGGCCAGGCGGCGTCTGATGTACTCGCCCTCCCTATCCTGCTGTCGGTGCTGTTCGTGCTGCTGTCCCTGCTGCTGCTGCTGCTGCTGCTGCCGTCGACACCGTACGTACTCCTCTTGCTGCAGATGCCTTACCCGGTCTTGCACCTGAAATAGAACCTCAACTTCGACTTTCCTGCAAGATCAATGTTCATGCAAGAGATTCTTACCTCTATCTTCGACTTGCCCCTTGCCTCTGCGAGAGCTCCTTCCAGGCTGTCATTCCGGCTCTGAGCCGCCTGTACGGCACCTTTCGCCCGCATCTTCATCCTCCACAAGCGAAACGGCATGTCTGCAATCACTCGGTGATTGTACCTGCAGCGCCCAGTCCATTCGATATGCGACTCACGGTTATCTGGCTTCATGTACTGGGTGACACTACCGAGCGCACCCACTACACTGTTCCAGACCTCCGCTGGCTCCCCGGTGCCACGGTCCACCCCTTCCATTCTCACATGCCCAAAAGCCTTCTGGCACGAATAGCTGTGCGCGTATTTGTGCCATGGCGGGATAAGGCACATCATGTTCATGCCGCGCTCCTTCACGCTTTGATCCTCCTGACCCCCCAGCCACTTTGTGTACGAATGGCCCCAGCGGCAGCCAATATCATACCACATGAACTGGATAGCGGTTTGGGCGTACAGCAAGGACTGCAATGTGCAAGTGCAGTACGCGTGGCGTTCACCTGTGAAGAGGTTGATGAGGCGAAAGAGCACTCCGTGATGGCACAGAGCAACACCCAGGGCTGTGATCAGGTCCTGAAAGGGCATCAGGAACACAACCTTCGTTGATTTCCAATCGACACAATTTTCCCGCCCACCACTGTCCCTTACCCTTTTCGATTCTCCTGCAAGAACCTTGTCCGCGTCAAACTTCGAGCAGGTAGTTGCGTCGATAGGCTGTGATGCCTTAGCGTCTTCCAGAACGCCTAATACCCTCTTGTTCTCCACGAAGAAGCGTCGCCGGGGCAGCTGGGGGTACGACTTGCCGTACCGATGGCCCAGGAGGTTTATTTTGAAGTTTGCATCGGAGTGCACTGAGTGAAGAAGCTGAGGTCCCTGTCCAGCATCCTCAACTCCGCCAGTCAGGTTAAGGCCCCATGCCTCCTCGACTGCCTCCACAGCTGCTGCCCCCGCACCATCGGCTGTGCGAAGGTGGCCGCTGGCATCGGTCCCCGGCGGCGCCAGCTGCTCTCCACCCGACCCGCCCGCAGCACCGTCGTCTGCCTCCACAGCTTCAGACCTCGGACCTTGATTGCAGACCGCATCGCCACAGCATGGGCATCCGTTTAAAGCTCCTGACGGCCAGCCATTTAGAGACTCAGGGAAATCGTCGACAAGGCCCCGGAGGTAGTGGTACGCCATCAGGGCTTGTCGAAAGCGCTTCCGTAACGTAGATGGCATGGCGTTTACAGCAACCATTCTGCTCCCAGTTCGCCACCAGCCCGGCACAAAACCGGTCGGCACTCATGTGCCGTGTCGCAAAGGCCAGGGTGTCAAAGAGCTGCAGCAACGTCTGATGCCACCACAACACGTGCGTCCCATCTTTCCGCAGGCGGATATCCATTGAAAACTGTGTGTCCGGGATACAGTCCACCGCTGTAGGCCTGATGCCGTATGATGCCCTACATGTTGGGCACCACCAGGTAGGCACATTCAGACTAACGGCTTGGTCCCAGAGAAGGACGGTCACAGGGCAAGGCTGTCCTGCTGATCTGCCGAGATTGCCGCAGGTAGGGCGTTGACGTGATGTACATTCAACAGCATCCGCCACTTGCCTGCTCTGGGACGACAGCATAGCCTGTCTAAAGTCGGCTGACGTTCCGAAGTCCCGCAGGTATGCCGACGACAGGGCCCCGCTGTAGGGAAGAGGAGACGGTGATGATGGCGCCCGCTCCTCCTCATCGCTGTCGGAAGACAATGCTCCTAAGAATGTCGGGTCGTCAGATGCATCATCGGAAACGTGCGCGGGCTGCGGATCAGGCCAATCAGCCTCATCATCGCCCACGACTACGTTTGGAACAAAGTGACCAGTCTGTCCGCGTACAGGCATTGTTGTGGTGGCGCCAGTGGCCTCCTTTTGTCCGGCATGCCGACTGTCCACCTTCTCTCCACGCTGCACAGCACGGCGTTTGCGATCCTTTGCATTACGTTCCCTCTTGCGTGTAAAGAAAGGAACTTTTCCCATTTCAACGAGCTAATTACGCGACGTAAGTATACCCTGTTGTGTCATACAGACGTTTTCAAACTGCTACATAGGTAGACGCTTATATATTCCAACGCATTATGCATTAACAGTTTGGGTTGGACGCAGGACGTCACCCCGTTAACCGGGATTCATACGGCACAGCTGGTTGGTTATGCTACGTGCGCGCGCACTTGCATATCTCTCTTATTGGATCCGGACATAATATTTACATATATCTGGGAGGACTCTGCTGCTCGTTTTCAAAGTGCTCTGCCAATAATTGTATCGGAGAGCCTGTGGACCTTCCCGAGAAGGCGTGCGATCCGCGGGATACGTCTCCCCGAGCGGCCTTCTCCTTAGGGGTTGGGGAGGGCTCCATAGCTGCAAACAACAGTCGCATTAATATATCATACTTGAGGCAATTCTGTTTAGAAGCCCCCAAACAATATAACTGAAACATTGTCCTTCTATTGAACTGTTATACTTCGCTAAAATTCGCAAGTGGGATTTACCCGCTAGTGCGTCCAAGTCAAAGCATCCGACCGCCGCACGCCAGCTACGACATAGCCAGGGTGGGCGCTTCACAAAACGTATCAGAAAATAAAAACGTATAATGATGCAACTGCTTACTGTCTTTACTAAGCGGAGGTTATGTTCCTGTCTCAAGAAACGAGCACTCTGAAGTAGTTGTCGGCAACTGCCATGGGAAGTACGATCATATACGGGCGGTGCATTCAGACGCGAAATTCTTGGATCTGTTCTCAAATTATCATCCAATTATAGTCCATGGCGTCTGATGAGAAGCCGTCCAGTCCAGTCGTCCAGTCAGACCTTGCTTTGCGTGGGAGTAGGTGTACATACTTTACAGGGCACCTTCGCCAGATAAGATAATACCAATCTGTTCACATGTACTTTTATTCAAAGCATAAAATGTATTACTACCAGTTGTCCGAGCTTACCTCGTTCCCTGTTTTCCCTACCCACATGTACAGGTATCTCGAGAGCTCGCCGAGGTCAGCAACTTGGACATACATCAACGCACATATGCAACAGCTCTGGGTAGTAATTAAGGGAGCTCCTGCAAGCATCCGGAACCGTATATCTCTGGCTTCCGTAGCACTCCGTAGTGCATCTGTAGCGCCTTGCCTACGCACACTCTGGTACGTTCAACGCACAGAAGCACGCGCGCTGCCTGGCGCCATCGCCTGGATTACAGAGAAACGAAACGCAAGCAAAAAATATGTAATTCAACGGAAGGGGGTCCCCGAGCATCGTGGCCCTACAGACTGCAGTGAGAAAGCCCAGCAACTGAAATTACGTTGCGGCTTCGGCACGTACTGGCAAGCACATCGGCATCCTGAATCATGATTCTGAATCACCGACGTGCTGGCTGGCTGGTGATCTCTGAACCGCAAGAAAGGCAGCCTACGGACCATTTTGCGTTGCGCGTGCAGTGGTGAATGCAACTGCGAGTGCTGAGATACCCGCAGGGTGCTTCCCGTGATATCTCGGACTTCTCTTGACTGAGAAGAAAATGCCGTATCGTGCGGAAGCCAGGTGAAGCGAGGGATGAATGCTATGTACCTGATTTGTGCGGTGCGGGGCCAATCGCATCTCATAGGACGTGGTGCTGCTGTAGGTGTGTGCTCTCTGCCGATGCTTTTACGTGTGCCCCACACGCCAGGCGACACGCACGCCCCGTGTGCAGGCCTCAGGGATCACGCACGCGTTCACCTTGTCCAGCATGAATGCTTCTATGAGCTGCTCGTATAGCAAACCGGTCGTGAAACTTTGGTCACGAAATCTCTGCGAACCGGTCGCGAAATCCTCTATATTCATCAGGGCCATTTGTCCCTCAATTATGGTGCTGCCGCAGACACGAGGCTAACTTGGCCAGGGAAGCACTCTCCAATCCCCACAGCACGGATTGATGCGGGTATGGATGTGTGTAAGTGCCTGCGTTTTGTAAGTAAATGCCGTACATCATATACGTAATGTGTTTTTATTTTTCTGGGGCGCAGGAAGCCGCACACCATGTGTGTTTGGGTGTGTGTTTGTGTTTGTGTTTGTGTTTGTGTTTGTGTTTGTGTTTGTGTTTGTGTTTGTGTTTGTGTTTGCGTTTGTGTTTGCGTTTGTGTTTGCGTTTGTGTTTGCGTTTGTGTGTTTGTGTGTGTGTTTGTGTGTGTGTGTGTGTGTGTGTGTGTGTGTGTGTTTGTGTGTGTGTTTGTGTGTGTGTTTGTGTGTGTGTTTGTGTGTGTGTTTGTGTGTGTGTTTGTGTGTGTGTTTGTGTGTGTGTTTGTGTGTGTGTTTGTGTGTGTGTTTGTGTGTGTGTTTGTGTGTGTGTGTTTGTGTGTGTGTGTTTGTGTGTGTGTGTATGTAAGAAATTGTTTGTATGTTACATATTTTTCGGGCCTGACCCTGATGTATGTGTTGCCATGTTGCAGCGCTAAGCCTCGTTGCGTTGACGCTTCCGCCCTGCAGTCTTGCAAATAGCGAATCAGGTAAACAGGTAATTTCGTCCACAGGTAACCTCGTCCACATGAAATGTAGCCTTGTACCTTGCTTGGATGAACGGATTTGTTTATGCTCGTACATATATGGCAGTAGAACCTGGATGGCATGTACGGCATGCATGGTTCCTGCGATATCCGTGCTCATTGCTGTGTTCCATGCGTCCGCGCCAGCTCCTTGCCTCGTAGCGGCAGCTTTAATGCAACCCGCACGGTTTCGAGTACGTTGATTGCCTCGTGGTAGGACAGGGGCATGCCTCAAGTCCATGTTGGTTTGTATGCGTGATCCATCGATGTGCGTTCCGTACCCTAGCCAGGTGACTTGTAGCTGCAGTTCGTGAAGCAGCATGCCTTATTGTTAGCGCGTAATAGCGGCGAGAGCCGACAGGTTACAGGACGGAATCGCTCCGTCAAGGACTGGGTTCTGTTCTGAGTAAGGAGCGTCAGAAGCGTAGGCTCCTGGTATCTCTCTCACCGGTGTATTGTTGGTTTGATTGATTGATGTCTAATCCCAGGCTTCCTCCCGAGTATAAATACTCGTTGCTTAGGAGGCCGTAACAACTTCTATTGTACGACGTCTCTTCAGATCTACATTGGTTGCTCGAACCGATGAGTCTGTAGGTATCTCAAGTGCGTGTCATTCCTTGGTAAGGAAGCACGTCTGAACTCTAAGATATCCGTAGACTGTTCGTAGCTCAGTCTTATCAAGTCGTGCCTTAATCACGCAGCGATTAAGTTCTGTAACGCTCTAACGCGCTACAACACTTATAAGCAAACGCAACCGAGTTGCTTTCAGATCAGTTGGTGGGGTGGGGGGGTGTCGTAGCGCTAAGAAATTAACGCATTAACGCATAGGTGCATTACTTCGCGTGCCTGCAGGCTAAACAGCCGCATTGCGCCATTCAGGCGAAAAGCCGACTGCATTACCCAGACAGGCTTCGGGGAGCTCTGCAAGTGACTTAGGAGGTGTTGGACAACTTGCCTGAAACTGAGTTTCTGACGACTGGAGGCGTGGCGCGTGCAAAATCCCAAACGTCACAGGCGCCGACAATGAGGAATGACATGTCTTAGGCAATTCCATGCAACAAGGCGTGGGAGGGACGCCATTTCCTCCGTTACAACAAAGAGTTGCTTAACTGCATACCATTGTCAACTGTGCGCACGTCGTATCGATCGCACATGAGGCATGTACGGCAGGGCGCCATACGGACGAACACGCAAACAGCACGTCCGGCATCCAATTAAATTTCCAAGTATTGATCCTTTGCGGGGTGCGAGAAACCAAAAAAACAGATCCGATGCATTGTTGAAACGACCTACGTGAGCTCACAACAGCGACCGCGTTGTATGACGCGAGAAAGCAAAGCATGCTGCACAACAGCGAAGCACGCTCTCCGCCTACGCGATGACCAAACCCTATCAGCTATCACGCGTGCCAGCTCCATGCGTGCACAGGAGCCCCAGGCGCCGCCCTACAGTACTACAGCTGCACGGATAGAAGCCAGTAACCGCAGTTATGCTGCCCAGTACTTTTAATGAAATGTGTACTACAATCCCTGCTCTGTACAGCTTGCTAAACGCGTCATAACCTCGCCAGCAGCATCCTGCTTCTGTCCTTCACACTAGACCTCTGCCCGTAACTTGATACATTAAGTGAAAGCATGGCGCAGGCTATGAGCGTTACTCGGGAGTATGCACGTACGCTTGGCGCGGCAGCAAACCGCCTCCATGCCGTACTTTGTGGGGCCCGTGATGATGTGTCATCTTGGCAACCACCATCACGTCACGTCAACAACCTTCACGTCCGAAGGAAAACGTCAAGCCATAGGGAACACCTCCACATATGGCAAAGCGCCTAACAATTAATCAAGTAAGCAACTCCACCTGCTTTTCAGTAGGCGGTGGGAAGCGCCGACTGCTGCCTGGCGGCTGCACCGCTCAAGTCCGTGCCCGCCGGATCATGGACACTGAACCGCTGAAGGTCGGCGGCAATCCTAGCTTTACCCCCTGCCCCTACGTGGTCAACTAAGTGAATGAGTGAGTAAGCAACCCTCTTGCTCGTCCAAACTATTATCAGTATTGTCAAAATGGAAGGCATAGACTTCCTGAGACGTGCTGAGTCCCACCTTCCGTCCCACCCTGCCGCCGGCCCACCGCCAGCCACAGAGACGCAAAAAACAACATTCCTGTGTGATCGCAGCGACCATATACGACTTACAACCACCGTAACCTGTATATCAAAGTACATTCGTCGACGATCGGCACCCACAACAGCAACAACCACATCATCACGGGCTCTGCGAGATTACATATTGTGGTTACCCAGCCACCCTGTCAGCCTGCTTAGCTAAGAAATTCATTATTTAGTACTATGTTTCCTCCCACGCCATAAGCAAAAAATGAATGGATGCGATTCGCTGGTTAAGGACTCTGCCTCCAAAAGTAATTCGAAAGCAAGGCGTCTGCTTGGTCAGCGACATACTTTAGGCGGCTAAAGTCCAGTTAGGAAGTTGGCCGGCTAAGAAATACAGCTGAGAGAAAATACAGCGGCAGCCTCTACAACACTGCACGGCACCACCCAACGTCAGCCGGCCAGAGGGCACATACCCGGGGCGATCGCCGCTAACCAGGATTCCCTGCTTGCCACCAAGCACCTCCCTCCATCGCTCATTACATAGATAGTTCTTCTTGCAGATCGGCGCGCAGACGGAGGCAAAGCTCCGGCCGGAATATTCTCCGAGCCACGCCAAACCGCGTCCAAAGAATCTACATACATACATACATACATACATACGTACATACATACATACATACATACATACATACATACATACATACATACATACATACATACATACATACATACATACATACATACATACATACATACATACATACATACATACATACATACATACATACATACATACATACATACATACACACTCACTCACGGACTCAATACCCTGCACGTTCACCACCTACCCAAAACAGACATGCATGGCATGCCGCTGCGAGGTCACTGCCACCACCGAGCAAACCTCCGCAGCCACCCCTCACGAGTGCTCGATTGCATGTGCTCATCTGCTTTTTGATAGGCCCACGTCCCCCGCGTCCCCCGGGGCGCATCACAGCGCACCGTTCGGAGGGCTCTGCATGCAGACACGTGCGCCCGGAAAGCATCTGCATTGCGAGACCGTTCCTGCAGCCAATGACACCGCCTCCGCCTCCAGGCAGCAGCCCCAGCGGGCCCCCACCATTGCAGCAGCACTACAGCAGCAGCAAGGCCAGCGGCCGCCACTGCCGTACAGAAAGCGGTGCCTATGAAAATTCGCAGGATAACGGGTCCGGCGGCGGCGGCGGCCTCAGGCCTGATGGACTGATGAACTGCCTGAAGCAAGAAAACTGCCTACAAGCTACCAGTTACCAGCAAAGGGCGAATATAAAAAGACCTCATGCCTCGTAGCGCGCGTGATTTCGTGTGTGTGTTCGCATGCGTGCATGTGTGTGTATGTATGTATGTATGTGTGCTTTCATGCGAAAGCCTGGATTATTGGTTTCGCACACGTATGTACGTCCAGCAGGCTGTCGTACACCGTTCATCGTTGGGCGTGTGTGGATGCAGCCAGGCGCTGCACACACACCCAACTGAAAAGATAATGACCCCACGATGCCAATGATCCTGCTGCCATGTCGCAGGCTCCGAAACCGCCGCGCTGAAAACTGTGTGAAAAAGCTTATTTCAGCGACTTCCTTAATCTTCCTGCATCTTCCAACTCTCCTCTAGCGTCTGCTAGGTTAGGAACTAAATAATACCCCTCGCCGACAATTCAACCACGCGACGCGACAAGGACGTATTTGTCGCCCTTGCATTATCGCACCCTCAAAACACTGCATCCATTGGCAGCATATGCCTGAGCTGAGCTGAGCTGAGCAGCTCAGCAGCACCAGCACCATCCCCTGCGTGGTGCGGCTCACATCCCCCCCTTCCCCGCGCACGTGGACTTGTCGTGCTGTGCACCTACCGACCCTGCCCGTAGAGCTCTTCCCCCTCTCGACTCCTCACAGCTGATCCCTCTCCCCCCCTTGCACCTGTAGCCCAGCCCTTAATGCCCATCTACATCAGATGACCCGTCCTCATGACCACCCAGCCAACGCCACTCCCCCCAATCCTCTCGCTCTCTCGAGTTTAGCCTCCCAGCACCACTGACTGCTGGCCCATCACACAGGCCCACCTCACATCGATTTGCCCTGGCTCGCCCCAGGCTATCACCCGCCTGGCCGAAGTCCCTAATCGCCCACCAGTAATCACCGTACGCACGGTCCAGGACTTCCTTCGCAGTCCAGGTGCTTTCCCTGGCGCGTCCGTACACCTCCGTATCCATCTCCGGCTCGGTGGCACATGCCTGCCGGCACGGCCCCATAAGGCCCAACCTTCTTCCCAGCCTCGGACGGGTCTCAGAATCCGCATACCTGCTTCCACGACCCGTTTCAGAACCCCGTGGGCATTCAGGTCCATGGGGAAGGATAGGGGTCCGCAACAGCGGAAGGTCGAGCTCCGGAACCAAACCCTCTCGACCCCAGGTGCGGTGTGCATTCATGCGACGAACCCAATTTGGCCGCGCCAGCTGCAAGCCCACGATTTGTAGACGGAATGCCAGCTGCAAGCCCAAGCCCTTTGCCAACTTGACACATAGGGGCAAGCCCGATGTAGTATGCATATATCGTTACTGCTGCTGCTGCTGCTGTTGTTATTGTTATTGTTGTTGTTATCATGGATATCGCTTCCTTGACAGCCACAGCCACCTCCGCAGCACAGCGTGGCTATGCCGCCCTACCTGCCCAACCCAATTGCTCCGATGTCCCCCCAATCGTCCCAAGCTAGGCGCGGTCGCCTGGGGGGTCTGGGAGGTGGCCTGGGTTGCCGGGGGGCCGAGGGGGACCTGGGCTGCCGGGGGGGTTTGGGCTTCGGAGGCGGGTAAGGGGGTGGTGATGGCGGTGATGGTGGGGATGGTGGCGGTGATGGTGATTGCGGTGGTGGTGGTGGTGATCGCGGCGGTGGTGGAGGCGGCGGTGACCGTGGCGGTGGTGGAGGTGGTGGTCTTTGTCTTGGTGGTGGTAATGATAATATCGCTTGCTTCAGCGGTGGTG